TCCAACCTCATGACCATTTTTCCTACTTAGGACTCTTGCCTACTCCCAGGGTCACGTGATCAAAGTTCAGAAGCTTGACAGCTGACTCACATTTATGACAGTTGCAGTGTCTCAGGGTCATTGTTGTTGGTTGCAAAGTCATGTCCGACCCATCGCGACCCCATGGACAACGTTCCTCCAGGCCTTTCTGTCCTCTGCCATCTTCTGGAGTTCATTGAAGCTCACGCCTGCTGCTTCAGGGACTCCATCCAGCCACCTCCTTCTCTGTCGTCCCCTTCTTCTCTTGCCCTCCATCTTTCCCAGCATCAGGCTCAGGGTCATATGATCACCTTTTGCGACCTCCTGACAAGCCTGGGGAACCCATATTCACTTAACGGCGGCGTTACTAAATTAACAGCTGCAGTGACTAACCACACAACCCCAGGGCAAGAAAGGTCGTAAAATGTGGCACAACTCACTTAGCAATTGTTTTGCTGAGCAACAGAAATTTGGGGCTCAGTTGTCGTAGGTCGAGGGCCACCTGTAATGGGTTACAGTTTTGTTAAAGAGAAATCCAGCCTAGAAATAAGGAGAAACTTTCTGACAGTGAGAATAATTAAATCAGTGGGACAGCTTGCCTCCAGAAGGTGTGGGTGCTCTATTATTGGGGTTTTTCCAAAATAGACTGGACAACCCTTTGACCAGGATGATATTATAAGATCTTCTGTTTTGAGCACAAGGTTGGAGTAAAAGACCTTAAAGGTCCCTTCCAGCCCTACTCTTTGATGTTCTTTGTTCTAGAATGGGCTTTTTGCAAGGGGAAAAGTACTGACTGCAAACTTCATCAGGGTGCTGTGGGCTGTCTATCTGTTTTTTGTTTTTTTTTCTTACCAGTCTGACTATAATTACCTCTCAATTCAATCAGTATAGGGATGAGTAATAAGGGTATTAATGTTGGAAGGAGAAGGGTATTTAAATGGGGGTGGGAAAAAAAAGCAGCTCTAAGGAATATTATCAGATACTTCATTCTTTGTCCATCGCCTATAAATACAGCAGAGAGGAGGACATAAATGTCTTTTTTGCTGCTTTGATGCCATTTATGATGATTAATTTCCGAAATGAGAAATGGCCGAGTCTTAAAAACTCGAGGTCCCAATTTTTATCCAAATGCAGAGATATTGTCAGCTATTGATGAGAGGTGGACAAAAATCCTGTAGTTAAGAAAAAAAAAAAGGGGGGGAGGGGCAGATTTTTCCTAGAGGGATTTAAAAACCAGTTGTATTTCAAATCAGAAAGAAGTCTAGCTTTATTTATTGGTATAAAGCAGTGGTTCTCAACCTTTTTAATGCCGTGACCCCCAACCGGTCGTAAGTCGAGGACTACTCAACCGGCCGTAAGTCGAGGACTACTCAACTGGTGCAGCACCGTTTGCAGAATGGGACTTTTGGCGGGCTCAGCAAGGCAGAGACAGCCTGGACAATTCCTATTGGCTTTTGAAAGCCAATAGAATTAGACTCTATTCAAGAGAGTCTATTCTACTGGCTTTCAAAAGCCAATAGAATAAAAGGGAGGAGCACAGCTAAGGAAAAGGGGGGGAAAAATGGCGGACTGCGTTGTTTGGCGACCCCCGTGAAATGGTCCTTCGACCCCAAATGGGGTCCCGACCCACAGGTGGAGAACCACTGGTATAAAGCATGGGGGGGGGGGGCTTTTGGACAGAAAAGTTCCCAGTCGTTTTCAAAATTACTTTCAAAGCAAGATTCTAGCTGTCGTGGAAGAAACCAGCGCTTTGTTTTCATTGGAAAAGCAGAGACGGTGCCCCTTCTTATCTAGAGTCTTTAAGAATATAAGCTGCCCTGGAGACTCCGAAGCTAAGAATACATTGGTCAATTGGCCAGCATAATCTATGGATTAGCTACCCTTATGCGTCCCTGCCCTAACGTTTGACACTGGCATTTGCTGTTTGGGTTTCCTCTTCTGCTAGTAGGTAGAATAGTTAATACACAGAGAAAATGGCCAGTTGCCCAGGAGTTGGGTCTCTATGCCAGCGGGATGGGAGAATCTCAAGTTTTTCTATCTCTGTAATGCAATACTAGGAAAATGGAGGTTTTTGTGCATATAATCAAATCTCACCGGCTCAAGGTTGACTCAGCCTTCCATCCTTCCGGGGTGGGTAAAATGAGGACCCAGATTGTTGGGGGCAATGTAAATATATATATATATATATATATATATATATATATATATATATATATATATATATATATATGCTGGAAAATTTGCATAAAAATACGACTCCTGGGCATGTCTATGGTACAAATAAAATACGAACACCAGGAGAGTATAAATATAAAAATATACTTTACTAAAAGCTGCCAAGCTTTCGTTTGGAAACTCCAAACATCATCAGGGCTAAGGAGCCAGTAAACAATGATGACTTAAATGGGTTTTGCCGGCATCTGCACCCGGCTCATGGACCGCGTCACCGGTCCCGGCCGGTTAATTAGTGTTCCAGATGTTTCTTTATTACTCTCCTTACGCTTCCTTCTATGGTTCTTCCGGATCATTCCTTCCACTATCTCATTACTGGTATTCATCTCCTCCACCACCCCTTTATCCTTATTTCCTTCCATAGCACTGACCCTCAGAACCTGTATATTCTCTACCAGACAGTGGATGCTCTGTCTTTTCCCGTTCTTTCATTATATTAACAGAAGGCTTGAAGCATTTGTGCCCACCCCCCCTCCGAAACACAAAATAAAGATTATCTGCAGAGACCTGCTAGCAAGACATACAGTAAATAAGAGATAATTGAGAGATCTTGTAAATGATGGCCTTGGTGAGCGACATAGGCTTGCTCAACCTATCGCCTGAGGGTGTGTTTTTCTCTGTGGCGTGAACTTCCAAAACGGCGTTTCTCAACCATGGCAGTGTGTGAACTGACCTGAAAACAGGGACTTACATCCCAGATTCAAAGTTCAGATGATCTGGCCCCTCTGCAGTCAACTTCAGGTGTTGGGTGACATGGCTGTCTTAATGTGGTTGTTGTTATTATTATTATGGATCATCGCACAGTCAGCCAGATGTTCAGACTGGATTTGGCATTTTGTCTACCTATCGAGTCCTTACCCAGGACCTGGGATAGGCAGATGTGGATGTTTGATGGTATTACAGGTATCGTCGCAGGATGGAAGCAGTTCCTAGTAAGGCCGCCTTTTGCAATTGACTAATGGCGAATTTGTCAATGCCAATGATGGTGTTCAAGTGGTGCTCCAGTTGTTTTGGGATTGCACCCAAGGAGCCTATTACTTATTATTATTATATTATATTATATTATATTATATTATATTATATTATATTATATTTTATATTGAGATACCTGGTTGACACCTAGGATGCTGGTAGCAACCCGTGTCAACCATCAGCGCCAGCTAATTTGAATGTTCAGTTGACTGAGGTTCATGTTTAATGAATAAAAGATAATAATAATAAAGTTGGAAGGGACGTTGGAAGTCATTTAGTCCAATCCCCTGCTCAGGCAGGAAACCCTATACCATTTTGGACAAATAGCTGTCCAGTCTCGTCTTAAAAACTTCCAGTGTTGGAGCTTCAGGAGGCAGGTTGTTCCACTGGTTAATTGTTCTAACTGTGAGAAAGTTCTAGGTTGCTTCTCTCCTTGATTAGTTTCCATCCGTTGCTTCTTGTCCTGCCTTCAGGCACTTTGGAGAATAGCTTGACTCCCTCTTTTTGGGGCAGCTCCTGAGATACTGGAAGACTGCTATTATGTCCCCCCCCCCCTTGTCCTTCTCTTCATTAAACTAGACATACCCAATTCCAGCAACCGTTCCTGATATGTTTTAGCCTCCAGCCCCCTGATCATCTTTGTTGCTCTTCTCTGTTCTCTTTCTAGAGTCTCAACATCTTTTTTACATTGCAGTGACCAAAACTGGATGCAGTATTCCAAGGGTGGCCTCACCAAGGCCTTGTAAAGTGGCATTAACACTTCACGTGATCTTGATTCTATTCCATTGGCAGTGTCCCCCCCAGTCATATTTTACAACGTTTTTGCTGTTTTACCATTGGTTTGCTTAACGACCCTAAATTTACTTGACAGCCACAGCAAAAGTGGTTGTAAAATTGGGCTGGACACGTGACTGACTCATTTTACAACGGTTATGGCATATGGCCATCATGGACAGACTCCCTTACAGCCATATGTCGAGGACTATGGTAAATGAGATCAAAATTTTGTTTTTTTGTCACGATCCCAGTCACTTTGGGAAGTGTGACTTCCAGGGTGGTACTCAAAAGGCTAGCCCAGGGATATGTGGCCGTGCAGTCGCCAAGTCTTTATCCCTCAGAGTTGAGGGAAAAAAGTCTGATCTGTGGGATGAACATATGCAATAGTGTTTTTTTCCCCCTCCAATCTGATATATTTCCCATTAGCCTCTGCCCTCGCCGCAGATAGAAGTTATTCTTCCAATAAATATATTTGTAAGATTTGGCTTACTCCTCTTCCTTGTTTGTTCCTCCCTTCTTGCAAAACAAAACAAAACAAAACAAAAACCTCATAAAACTTCAGCCAAATGGAGGTTTCTTACAGGCCCCAAGGAAATAACATCCTTCGCATTCCATGGCTTATTACCTTTCCGCTGACATCACAGTTGTAAAGCATGCTGTAGCAGATTTGCTTTGCCCAGCACACTTAAAACAGTTCAATGAAAGATCTGGCAGATGCATTGGCATGCGCTTGTCTAAGCTTGGTTTGGGGTAACCTGGGTTACTTTTTCATGCCTTAATGTCAAACGTGACCTGCTCGGTCATCTTACCATTCAATGTATTTGGAGACCACAGAAAAAAGATCTCTTCTGATAATCAGGTTAAGTGCATTGTGTGAGCCCAGCCATGCGAACGGCCTGGAGTTTAACATCCTGTAAGTAATATTTTAAAAAGAAACGTTGCAGACCTTCCAAATAAAAAGGATAACCTAATTTCTCCCCCCCCCCAATCCTGTCTTTCAGGCCTTTGTATGAAGACCGAGTTCTCAAATAGATACCCAACAAGGGGTGTGGTGTGCATGTCGGAGTAATAAAACCAGGTTGATTTTTACAGGTAAGTAGAATCTGATAGAGCAGTGGTTCTCAACCTTTTTAATGCCGCGACCCCCAACCGGTCATAAGTCGAGGACTACTCAACCGGTCGTAAGTCGAGGATACTCAACTGGTGCAGCACCGTTTGCAGAATGGGACTTTTGGCGGGCTCAGCAGGGCAGAGACAGCCTGGACAATTCCTATTGGCTTTGGAAAGCCAATAGAATTAGACTCTGTTCAAGAGAGTCTCTTCTATTGGTTTTCAAAAGCCAAGAGAATAAAAGGGAGGAGCACAGCTAAGGAAAAGGGGAAAAAATGGCGGACTGCGTTGTTTGGCGACCCCCGTGAAATGGCCGTTCGACCCCAAATGGGGTCCCGACCCACAGGTTGAGAACCACTGATCTATTCTATTGGCTTTCAAAAGCCAATAGAATAAAAGGGAGGAGCGCAGCTAAGGAAAAGGAGGAAAAAATGGCGGACTGCGTTGTTTGGCGACCCCCGTGAAATGGTCGTTCGACCCCAAATGGGGTCCCGACCCACAGGTGGAGAACCACTGTGATAGAGCCATATGCAAATCTGAATAAACACAAAATTCTTGCCCTGATTATCAATTTTTCCCCCAGGATCAGAAAAGTCCAGCAAAGAGAGATAGGGTAAGCATGAGAACAGTTTATCGCAGCATCAGCTAGTTTGTTTCCTAGAGACAGGGAGTCCTCAACGTAGAACCACAATTGATCCCAAAATTTCTGTTGTTGCTAAGCGAGATGGTTGCTAAGTCCATTTTGCCCCATTTTATGACCCTCCCTGCCACCGTTGTTAAGGAAATCACTGCAGTTGTTAAGTTGTGAAGTGAATCTGGTTTCCCCGTTCACTTTGCTTGTCAGAACAGACGACTGCAATGGTCGCAAGTGTGAAAAAAGGTCGTAAGTCACTTTTTTCAGTGCCGTTGCAACTTCGAATGGTCACTAAACTAACGGTTGTATGTCGAGGACTACCTGCATTTCTTCGGGATCCGTGCATTCTTGATCTCAACTTTCCTTACTTGACCACATGCCCTTCTTAAACTCCTCATTTCCAAGTTTTATTTTTAATAATAATAATAATAATAAAAGTTGGAAGGGACCTTGGAGGTCATCTAGTCCAACCCCCTGCTCAGGCAGGAAACCCTATACCATTTCAGACAAATGGCTGTCTGGTCTCTTCTTAAAAACTTCCAGTGTTCCACCGCTTCTGGAGGCAGGTTGTTCCACTGGTTAATTAAATGCATTTAAATGCATTATTTAAATTAAATGCATTATTCCATTTGAATGCTGCGTTTATTTTGTACAATTCAACGAGCCTGCCTTCTATCTTCCCCCGCAACAACAACTCTGCCAGGTGGGTTGGACTGAAAGAAAGTTACTCAACTGGATTTGATGTCTAAGGCAGGGACTAGAATTCACAGTCTCCTAGTCTGGTGTCCAGCACCGTCATCATCACACTAAACCGGCTTTTGCAAGGCATTTAATTTCTTTCTGTGTTTTCTCCAAGATATCAAATGCTCACGTTCTTATTAAGTGGGCAGAAGCACACATTGATACATTCCCATTTTTGCTTCCTTTCATATCCCGCATTCTCACATTCCTTTTTGTGGGAAACAAAACGTTTGTGAATCTGAAAATGGCTTCGTTTATCTATAGATGTTCTACCAGATTATTTACTTTAATTTGTTTTTTTCGCCATTATGTGTAACTAGCTTTCGTGCATTTCCTTAATGCATCATGTAGTAGTAATATTCACTGCAATTTATGCAGGATTTTAGCTAACAATAGGACATTGTCTGCATACGAAGGCACAGATGCATTCATGTCTTCAGCACACATCAGCATCACAAGAAGCATTCCTTATACTTTTAACAAGAAGTATATTAAACAGTGAGGGAGACCGTCCACATTCTTATTTTCCAACCTGATCATTATTGAAGTATTCAGCAAGCCTTCCATTTATTCTCATTTTTGCATTGTTTCCACATTACAAGGCTCTTATTTACATTCTGCAAACAAACTGTAACTTTTTATTCATGCAAAGGTTCTCTAATTCAAGGCGACACATTTTATCATATGCTTTTTTAAAAAATAAACAAATTTACGGTGACCTACTTCACCTTTACATATTCCTGAAAAAAAAAAAACAATCTGTACTTCTTGCTTAGCAACAGAAATTTTGGGCTCAATTTGTTGTATGTCAAGGACTGTATTGGAGTGGGCAGCCCTGACAAATTTAATGAAATAAATAAATTGCTCATTCATCATTTTTGACGTTCTCATCTACCTTTTCTCTGCAGCTCGGAAGAGCAAAATGGTGGCAAAGGCTACATTTTATCGTTTGTTGGGACTTTTGAATTAAGACTCCCCCCCCCCAGCTGGTTTTCATGCCTCAGGCCGGACTAGAACTCGCAGCCTCTCCTAATTTCCGGCCCGTTGCCTTAAATATTGGACCTCAGTTTAGTTGTAAGTTGAAGTTGAATTGAAGAGAGAGCAAGAATGAGTGTCCGTCGGAGGAGGGTTCCAGATTGAAGCCCCTCCTGAGACCTGGAAGGGTTGGATATCATGCCAAACCATGCTTTTGTTATAAATTGTGGTTTCTTGAATCATCCCCAATGGCTACCTTTGCATGTAAGAATAAGCTAAAGCCGTCAAGTCTTTTTTTTTTTTTTTAATGAATCAATTAAAAGGAAAAAAAAAATTTGTGGTTTGGGCGAAGGGAAGAAAACGCTTAAGCTTGACACCATCCCCTTCTTCCCTCTAGGCAGACACTGCCTCCTGCTGAAACCACCATGAGCAGCACACTTTCCCCTACAGATTACGACAGCTTGGAAATCCAGCAACAGTATAATGATATCAATAACCGCTGGGAGGTGGCCGACGAGGACTGGGACAACGAAAACAGCTCAGCCCGGCTTTTTGAGCGCTCCCGTATCAAGGCTTTGGCAGGTAAGGGACGGGTGGGGCAGCTGTTTGCTTCTCTCCAAGTATCCTTTTTCATGGTAAAGGCATAACAAAATTGCAGAGTTGGGAGGGGCCTCAGTGGTACCCCAGTGGTGGTACCCATTGTACCACTTTTAGGATAGGGCAACATCCGAGGACCACCAGGCGCCTAGCAAGGTGTCCAAAACTTGATGACCCAAAAAAAATAAAATAAAATGGAAAAAGTGATAAAGTACAGGTAGTCCTCGACTTACAACAGTTCGCTTAGTGACTGTTTGAAGTTACAATGGCTCTGAAAAAAGTGCCCCCCAAGCCACAGCCGAACAAGACACCTGCCTGCCCGCCCGGCGGCGCTCTTCCTCCTGTCCGAGATTTTCATTGTTGTGAGCATTTCTGTTGAAGATTGGCAGCGGGGATGGGGTGGGGGGGTGTTTAGTTTTTATTCCCCCCATCTGCTGGGTGGTTGCAGCAGGTTTTGGTCACTTCACATGACCCTGGGACACTGTGACCGTCATAAATATGAATCAGTTGCCAAGCATCTGAATGTAAATCACAAGACTCTGGAGATGCTGCAACATTCCAGCTGATCGGCGCTTCTTCTGGGCTCAGCAGAAGCACCAGGGTCAGCGCTGAGCTCCAGCTGGAGCCTGGCGCTGATCCTGGCGCTTCTGCTGAGCCCTGACAGTTCTGCAGCTCCAGCCATCTCTCGCTCAGGCTTGTGCAGTGCTGTCCCCAGTTCAGCTCATTCCCTTCCCCCGCTACCACTTTTCTAGGATGGTCACGTACCACTTGCCAGGTGCCAATGTACCACAGGTGGTACCCTTACCACTGGTTGAAAAATCTTGTTCTAGTCCAACCCCTGCTCAGGCAGAAAACCCTACACCATTTCGGACAAATGGCTGTCCAGTCTCTTCTTAAAAATCTCCAGTGTTGGAGCACCTACAACTTCTGGAGGCAGGTTGTTCCACTGGTTAATTGTTTTCACTGTCAGGAATTTTCCCCTTAGTTCTAGGTTGCTTCTCTCCTTGATTAGTTTCCATCCATTACTTCTTGTCCTGCCTTCAAGCACTTTGGAGAATAGGTTAACCTAACCCTAACCCTCTTTGTAGCAGCCCCTTAGATATTGGAATCCTGTCTATCATATCACCACGAGTCCTTCTTTTTACTAGACTGGACATACCCAATTGCAGCAACCATTCTTCATATGTTTTAGCCTCCTGTCTCCGAATCATCTCCGTTGCTCTTCTCTGCTCTCTTTCTAGAATCTCAACATCTTTTTTATATCATGGCAACAAATACTGGATGCAGTATTCCAAGTCTGGTCTTAACCAAGGCATTATAAAGTGGTACTAACACTTCACGTGGATCTTGATTCCATCCCTCTGTTAATGCAGCCTAATGCACGCTTTGGAGCATGTGCAGAGTGTGTGGCCTTTCTGCCCCCAAGACTAATCCCTGACTTTGTAGGCTTGGTATTTTAACAGAAATTGATTTGGGAAAGTTTCAGGGGATGAACACATGCTTTGCATTCCAGAAGGGTTCATTGCATTAAGCAATTTTCTGCACACTCAGCCAGCTGTGGCTTACTCATTAGCCATGACTTTGTCTCTCCATCCAGCTTTGTATTATCCACGCCAGGCCCACGTTGCACACTAAACCGTGGCGCTTTTGTTGGAAGAGACAATCCGGAGCTAGATGGAGAAATGGATGAATGACGAAACCAAACTGTGCTTGGCTGAATTCAACTAACATGCTAAGCTTAAAACCCAAATCTCTGTTACAGCTTAACATTTAATTTCTGGATTTGCTCAGCATACTTAATGTGGTTGCTGAATTACCCCATTTTCTGGTTTGTACTCTACGGTTAGCCGTCAACTAACCAAACAGAATGGGTTCATACAACATGCCAAACCACAGAAGGTAACCCAGGTTGAAAGTAAGTCAGTTGAGCTTGTTTTGTGAATGCAGCTTGTCAGCAGGTGTACAACCACAATTGAGCCTGTTGCTAAGTGAGACATTTGCTAAGGGAGCTTTGCTCCATTTTACGATTATTGTTTTTTTTGCCACAGTTCTTAAGTAAATCACTGCAGTTGTTAAGTTAGTAACACGGTCGTTAAGTGATTCCAGCTTCCCCATGGATTTTGCTTGTCAGAAGATCACAAAAGGGGATCGCATGATCCCAGGACACTGCAACCGTTGTAAATATGAGTCGGCTGCCAAGCGTCTGAATTTGGATCACGTGACCAGGGAGATGCCACAACAGTCGTAAATGTGAAAAAGGTGATAAGTCACTTTTTCCAGTGCCGTTGTAACTTGTAATTCGAGGTCTACCTGTATTAAGTGAGACCAACCTGTGGGGCCCACTTGACTTATCCTGGATCCATCTGCAGTTCTCTTTCTCCTGGATCAAACTTAACCTGGAAGAAACTGTAGGGCATTAATAGAGTTTCTTCCAGCTGTCTTCAAGAATCCAAAGCAACAATTTCTCTATTTTACTTTGTTTTTCGCCGCTGCCCTTTGCCCTCCTTTTAGATGAGATTGCCTATAGCAGTGGTTCTCAACCTTTCTAATGCTGTGACCCCATAATACAGTTCCCCATGTTGTGGTGACCCCCAAGTGGGTGTGGCCACCAATAAGAGGGAGTAGGACAGCTAGGGAAAAGGGAACAAAATGGTGGACAGCATGGTTTGGCGACCCCCGTGAAATGGTCGTTCGACCCCAAATGGGGTCCCGACCCACAGGTTGAGAACCACTGGCCTATAGGTTCCTCAGCCTCTCTCATTCCTTTCTGTTCTGTCTGGAAAGGAGAGAGAATTGTTTACTGCTCCAAGGAGTCTATATGAAAAAAGTGTGGCCCCCATGTATCTCCGGGAGGGGGGCTTTCCTCATAGAGCAGTGATGGCGAACCTTTTAGAGACCGAGTACTCAAAACCCGGGTCCGTCCTTCCCTGCTCCCCCGCTCCGCCCCCCCCCCGTCCTGTCTGCTCCACGCCCGCCCGGCCCACCCGCAGGGGCGTGCTGTGCAATTAGCTCACGGTGTAATGAGTTGGGGGTTTGTAGTCACTGTGAGTTGGGGGGCGCACAGAGGGAGGCTCAACCAATCTCACGGTATACATGTTATACTTTGATAATAAAGGTTCATTCATTCATTCACCGCCTCCATGCCCCCCCACAGATCACCCAGGCAGCCCAGCAGCGCCATGGCGGCCACGCCCTCTGCCCGCACCCCGCAGCATAACTGCGCACGATGGGGCGTGAGGGCGGAGTCTTTTTTTTTTTTTTTTACAAATTTTATTTATAATACAGTTAAAAACAAACATTGGATTTAACGCGACATTCCAGTATATACATTCTTATCAGATTGTTCCACTTTTTGCAATCAATTCTTCATCTCGACATATACCTCTAAGTTTTGTATACAATACTTGTTCTAAAATAACATATATTTCTATCTTAACATTCATCTTTAATCCCAACCGTCTTGAGGGCGGAGTCTTGTCCCCGCTGCCCGGCTGCCATGTCCTTGGCTACGCTGCTCCATGCGGGCCGCGCTTGGGGGCAACTCTCCTTGGGGAGGCTGCTGGTGAGCAGGGGGCTGCGGGGGGGAGACGGGGCTGGGGTGATGGCACATGTGCCCACAGAGAGGGCTCTGAGCGCTGCCTGTGGCACGCATGCCATAGGTTCGCCACTACTGTTATAGGATCGCATACAGGTGAGCAGCTAGGAAAGGAGGGGAAGGTACAAGTGGTCCTCAACTGGTGATCACACGACCCCGTGATGCTGCAATGCTTGTAAATACATGCTGGTTGCCGAGCACCCAAATTTGGATCCCACGGCCACGGAGGTGCTGCCCTCATAACTTCAGTCCCTAAACAATTGGTTGTAATTCAAGGACTACAGGTAGCCAACAGTTCGTTTGGTGACCGTCTGAAGTTACAGCATCCCTGGAGAAAGCAACTCACGGCCACTTTTCGCGCTCAACGGCCGTTGCAGCATCTCCACAGTCACATGCTCAAAATGGCTTGGCGAACTGGTTCATACTTAACGCCGGCAGCGATCCACTTAACCGTGGCACTTTGGAGACTAGCTTGACTCCCTCTTCTTTGGGGCAGCCCCTGAGATACTGGAAGACTGCTATCATGTCCACCCTCGTCCTTCTCGTCATTAAACTACTAGACATACCCAATTCCAGCAACAGTTCGTTATATGTTTTAGCCTCCAGCCCCCTAATCATCCTTGTTGCTCTTCTGTGCACTCTTTCCTAGAGTCTCAACATCTTTTTTACATCGTGGTGACTAAACCTGGACGCAGTATTCCGAGTGTGGCCTTACCAAGGCATTGTAAAGTGGTATTAACACTTCACGTGATCTTGATTCTGTCCCTCTGTTAATGCAGCCTAGCACTTTGTTGGCCTTTTTGGCAGCTGCAGCACATAGCTGGCTCCTATTTAGGTGATTGTCCACTAGGACTCTGAAGTCCCTCTCACAGTTGCTACTATAGAGTAGGTACTCTCTAGAGAAGATTCCTGTTGCTCTCCAGTCCCCCCATATGCCCCCCCCTCCCCGGCCAAACACAAGATGGCCGAGACAGAAGCCAAGGACATCACGGGACAACCTTGAGACAGGTCCCAAGCATGTTTGTTTTTGACAAGCAAACATGGTCTTGAGCAATCGCGGCCTCTGAGCCGAAGGAAGCCCAGAGTGAGCAACAAGTTCCTCTCTTGCATCTCTGTTGCTTCTTCTGCAAACGGGCGGCGGTGGGCGGGCGGTTGGCGGGGACGGCAAGAGAAGATTGCGAGAACAGTCTGGGGAAGGGCAGTAAACAGCCACTTAATGACAGCTTAGGATGATAGCCAGCAGGGTGGGGCGTGTGGGCAGAGCAGGAAATACTGGAAGCAGGTGTAGAAGGGGTAATCCGGCAGTTTGCATCTCTGCATGCGTGGGGAGCCGGATCGTCCTTGGAAGGATAACATGGATCAGGGGTGAATTTCATTGAGAGCCACATCA